GCAATATTTTTCAAAAAACAAGAAAATGTTGTACGGAACTCATTTAATCAGTCTACCGACTGTATTACTTTAGAGATAGGTTAAATCTGAAATTCACATAGGATGATATAGTTTTTTGGGAGGCAAGGCTATGCGAAATTCAATGGGATGGTCGAGTATATCCATCTTATTGTATGAGAACTGAGCCATCAGTCATTAAATCCCCTTAGTCCCACAAATATAAGGTAGATAAACCGAGTAAAAGGTGTGATCATACCATGCAGATCAAATAAAGGCGATAGCAAAGAGACCTGAAAGAAAGATCTTTATACAAAGTTGATCATCAAGTTTCATGGTTTTAGTTGAATCGCCTAAAAGACTAAAAGAAAATGCTTCTTTCAAAGGGATAAGTATTTGAAAACGAATCACCGAATAAAAATTATGTAAGGGCTTAGTAAGTACAAATTCGATCTCATTAAAGACCTATTCTAAATGATATTGAGAACAAATGGCCTTAATTGAGCGTGAAGGAGTGCAGTGACCGTCACTACACAAAAGAAGTAAAATCTTGACCAACAAAGGAGTAGGATAGACTATTAGTTTCAGTGAGGGCGTACCAAATTCAAATTAAATTATATAAAGCGACAAATTTAGATGCTTTCCAAGCCTATGAATTACTTTCGCGCTGGGCAGACAACAAAAAATTAATATATATGTAAAGATAGGTCCTGGAAAATTTGGTAAATCACACTTTATAATCGAAGGTATGAAGATCAAGATGGTGTGGCCTTTTGTGTGGTCGCAGTCTCCTTTCGTTGTATAGTGGTTGTTTGACCTTGTTTTCGCAACATGCTCATATTGGTAGGAAGACTTATTGGAATGGACCCCGGATGAAGTACGTTCCAATAAGTCTTCCTACCAATATGAGCATGTTGCGAAAACAAGGTCAAACAACCACCACACTTCATAATGCCTAATGGCTGAGCATAGACTAGATGGATTTGCCTTAGTAGTTGAACTATTCCGAGAAATTCCGTATAAATAAAGGCGATAAAACCAAGAAATGAATCATTTCTTTAAAAGAGATCTCAGGATGAGGGGTGGGGTTAAAATATACACTGTACTTGATAGCCTTTTAATATTCGCCTGCAATCGAAAGTATGAAGATCAAGATGATATGGCCTTTTGT